GTGGAGGAGCTCTTCTCCCAGCAGCATGACCGCGGAGACCTGTCTACATTCACGCTGTGCGGAGGAGGCCTCCAGTGTGTGTGTGGCTGTCCCAGTGATGGCCCAAGCAAATTTTATGCAATACACTTGTAAAGCACTTTGGGATTGCCGGGGATGAATCATGCTGTAAAATGTATCATTAATGTTACTAGATGTATTATAGACTTCTCCTGTGATCTGAGACTGCTGCAGGCAGTGTGCTGGGAGAAAAGCTCTCCAGATTGTGCTCATGCAAATCGGTATCTGTGATCACATTCATTATGGTTCCCACTACAACATTACTTTCACACTCTTGTGTGCTGCTCACTCAGTCTAAACTTTTTGTTATTGCAGGTTGTATGACTACAACATAGCATCTCTTTGCCAACACCTTTACAAGGGTGAGAAAACATTATTTCCAAGATACAAATACGGAGATAGAGGCACAAGAAAACTAATGGATGTGCTTAAACTTACCCAGGAAAGAGGTGGTGTTATCCTAACCTATGTCTCCTGACTCTGGAGTCCCCTAACAGATTGCTAGATCAGGACAGCTGTCAATTATGTTCAGGACGTTTAGTTCAGCTTATCTTTTTGTTCTGAAACATTATTTTCTTCTGAACTGGAAATCTGCATAATTTAGAGAAGAGCAAGAATTTCTGAAAGCTGGGAAGGACAAAAGTGAAATCTGACCTATTTTGAGCACATCCCGTTTTTACTGTGGAAGTAAGTCTTGTCAGCTGAGTTAAATTACACAAACAGTATTTCAAAATTATTTAAGATTAAATGACACGATCACAAAATAGCAATATAATAGGAAATGGAGGATGAGCAGACGTATTCAAGAAATGGTTTTCAAACATTGCAAATGAAATGGAGAGTCAAGGCAATGACAAAGAGACTGCTGCCAGTGACATATCCTGTGAGAAGATCCTCAGAACAACCTGACTATTTGGGAATATAGGGAAGAAGCAGACAGTGCTCTAAAATATGAGAAAAGCAGGAAACCACAGGCAAAACCTAGCCATGAATTAATCCAACAGAAGTCAAAGCCAAGAAATTGTGAGCAGTGAGTCATCAGTAAAAGGGCACTTGCATGTAACATACGGGTTCAGTTCACAGGTACCCAGTCTGTTTTTTAAAATTAAAATTTAAAATATGACAAAAATATTCAGTGTTCAGATGAAAGTTGAAAAAAGAAGCTTTCAAGATCTCAAGTCTGTATTGTGAATGTTTGGCTAATACATCAACACAGACTGACTTGCCAAAAATATTAAAATACAACTAAAGAGATCATAAATTAGTAAATTGTCAAGTATTCTTAATATGTATTCCCAATGCCAGGCATTTATAATAGTAAAAGCAGGTTACTTAAATAATAAGTGCCAGTTAGTACTCAGAAAGCTCAGGACAGTTTTACTTTAACAGACAGAATAGACTAGGTTTGCTTCAGCAAACTCATCCTGAAAGAAGTAACAAAGATTTGCCTTGGACACATGAAAAGTTTCTGTACTTTAGGATTTCAGTGTTCATTTAGAGAACTATTATACCATACAGTACAAACCTTTTATTAAATCAATGCATTCATTTACTTGAAATAAAAGTTTTATTCATTCACTGTATTTTGATAGACTAGACTACTGCACATAGACAGGAGATAATGGATGGAACAGGATGTCCTTGAAGGAGAAGAGCTGCTTCAGATCACCTCTTTAATACTCAGGAGATATCCTGCTTCCAATGCCCGTCAGTCTTCTGAAGGCTAAGAGGAAAGACGCACCAATGCTATCTGGTGTAACGAATCAGCTCCTGAATCACCTAACTATAAAACTCACAGGGAAAAAATTAAATAAGCTCTGCTTAAAATGTCTCAATGTCATTTTAAAATCTATTTAGGAAGATCAGCTCTGGTGCCTTTATAGCAGCTTAGCCATGTGCATTGCAAAGGCTCACTGGTACTGTAGCCATCACCAGGTTTTGAAATGAGTAAAACACAAAGTTATTAAATCAGTTTTGGTCTCACAGTCCCATTTGGTTAGTGCACTTTAACATGCTTTCAAGCAATTAAAGAAATTGATATACAGAGATTTTTAAAAGAGTCAGGAGACAAAATTTCACTGACATAGAGATCTATAACAAGACACAGATTTCTTCTGGAAAAAAAGAAAAAGAAGAAAAGATATGTAAGCCATATTCTAATACTTGTTACAGCAAAGAAAAGAAAAATTAAAACCTTGGGTTACATTTTTAAAGACATTTTCCTACCTATTACATAGCCCTTCTGTGTTCTGAGTTCTGGAACCCTCATCAGCCAACTTTTTGTGTCATAATATGCACACAAAACATTTTCCTGCAGGCTTAGTAGAAATCAGAGATTACAGCTGCACCTACTGCAAGCCCAGGCTGTGCCAGCTGTGTGTTACCTGGGTTCTTCATTCGAGGAAGGTCAGGTTGGACGGGGCTCTGAGCAACCTGATCTAGTTCAAGCTGTCCCTGCTCACTGCAGGGGGTTGGGCTCGATGATCTCTCAAGGTCCCTTCCAACCCAAAGCATTCTATGATTCTATGATTCTAATTTGTGTACCTATATATAAAGTTCTCAAAACTTGTATCTTAGCACAGTATATGAATTTATAGTCTCAAGATTAAAACTTGCTGGGGTAAACAGTCAGCAAATCTAGCCATGAACAAAAAAACCCCAACAAACCCTGCATCTATAGATTTTGAGTTAATTGTCTTTCCCTTTTTTCACTAAAACACATGTATGTGTATGTGTATGGGTGTGCGCGCCCATCTCCCCACCTCCCATCTTCAGCTAGCACTTTTGTTACAAAGAAAGTGAGAAAGAGCTCTGTGAAACAACTTATTCACAGTAGGACCCAGTAATTAAGATGAAAGTACGGCAGCATAAGGCAGATAAAATAGCGTTATTTCTTTCAATTATAAAAGTCTTAGGTCTCTATATGGAGCAGCATTTTACTCACCTACCTTGCATATCAGTGTTGAACAAATTGCCTTGTTCATACTTAAAACACCACAGACCCAGCTTATAGTTTTAGTTACACCACTGAGAAGCTGTATGAAGCCTCTCAAGGAGAAAAAGTCAGCAAACTATTTGATTTTAGCTATTCACAAAGTAAACCCGTTGAAGTTCGAGTTGTTTCAAAAAAGGAAAAGGCTTGCTTTGTGTTGAGAAAAAAATAATGTTCACACTGTTTTTCAGACCAATGCATTCTGTTACCATTTTTCAACGCACCTCTACTGGGGAAAAGAAGGAATCTTGCAGGAAAACTTGCAGGAAAAGCTGCTTTCTTTAGGTGCAGATATCCTGCCACCTTAAAATCTACAGTACAGTGCAAAAGCCAAGATCAACACATCTGGGTATCCTTTTTAAACTCACTATGAAAAAAATGACTGCTACTGGAGACATAATCAGCTCATGCCATCTACTTGGCTTCCATATATGTCTATGAAAAATTAAGTTTTGCCTTCATGTCTCTGAAAGTACTGTCTGCTTCTCTTTTCCTATTTCAGTCTAGCTTGTGTCTCTGGTCTGTGGGCACTGAAAGAAGTAAAATACTGGTATTTCCAGGGAGAAGTAAGAAAATTATTTAGCCTTCTACAAGAGCAGAATTCAAACATAACAGACACATCCAGGTATTAGCAAGCTCTTTGCTGATCGTGGGAAAGAATAAGGATCAAATATGTTTAAGTCTAACCTAAAAATGATACTGAATGCTAATGAACTGATGTATTGTTAACAGATTCTTCCCTTTTTTCTTAAGAAATTTAATTTAATAATCCGTAATCCATGATATATAAAAACCTCTTCGCCTTCCCCTTTCTAAAAGTATTTAAATAATCGTGAAAAAAGTGGTTCTTACTGAAGAGGATGGCAGCTCTGGTATATTACTGGATGTAATGATAAGGAACAATGACATTTTACAGTCTCTATTTTCAAGTAATGACCAACATAATATGCTGGACACACAAAGCATCTAACAGAGGAAGATCCTCTTATCTTTAGTCACTGGCTTCTTATCAGCTGCTGCCAAGTGCATTTCTGGTAGCAGGCAAGAAAGTGAAGCTGGAGTGCTAAGTCCACCTCTTAGTCACCCCAATGTAAACTTACTGCCATGCAGTTGACTTTTGTGGAGTTATCTCTCATATATGCTGGTGTAAGAGAAGGACAACCAGAGCGCTGGTCATGTAGCTCCAGTGTTCACACACTGCAAGAGAAGCAATGAGAGTATATAGATGTAGAACATAGGCAAAGGTTTGATATTCTTTTTTGAAGGCTTAATTTTACAGCCTTTTCTGAAAATAAGACTTCTCTACAGTGCCGTCCTGCCTCAAGCAAAGTCCAAAAGGCTTTCTCTCCTATACTGATCTTATGTCATGTCATGAGTAAAATATCAGTTGCAATGAAATCGATAGGAGCTTCACCTATGTGTCTGAGCCTGTTTTAATGAAAGCAGTGGTAAAACTCCTGTTGATTTTCTGAAGAAGACTGAAGCCCTGGGGAATACTGGTAGCTCTTTAATAAGAGCTGCTTACCAGATGTAAAGCACGGGGGTGCCCACTATCGCCTCAGAAAGCAGGATGGCAAATCCTACAGTCTGGCCATCATCTCCATTATTCACTTTGGTAAAACATGCAACCTGAATACCCCTCTGAATAATTCTTCCCCAGTGCAACAAAAGGGTTAAAATCTGGCCACAAATAAAGTCTTCATGAGTTGGCCTGAAGTCAGTAAATTCAACATAGAATTGAAAGGAATGAAGTCTTTAAAGCAGTACTGGAGCTAATATTCTGATTTCACCTCCATCTAAAAGATCTGAAGTTATAATCAGTTTATTGTAACCAGGCCTAGATATATCAAACAAAAGAACTGATGTGATCAGAGCAACTGACATCTCCCAAGAGCCACCTGCTATTACCAGAATGTATCTAAATATAAGTGAGAAAAAAGCACAGTATTTTGAAAAGAAACCTTTATTGTTCACACAAAGCCGACTCTGTCACATATCATGAGGCATCATTAACAAGCTAAATATGACTTTGCTTAAATCAGACAATATTGCTTAATGAAAGTATCCAACACGGTTATGATCAGTTCCTTTCTTTGTTCTTTCCTGGATGGAATGTGTGTTTTGATATCAACTCATCTCTTCTAAACTGCTAGCTTAGCCAGCATGTTACATGAATAACTTCCTTGCCAGGTAAATCCACCACAGGGACTAAGATCAGAGCTGGGGTCTTCTTGCCCAAATATTTTTCCAGGTATTCTTGCAGTCCTAAAATAGAAACAAAACAATTAATGAATCCTCTTTGTCTCATTTTCTATTGTGTCCTATTTCTTAAAAATGATTTCTAAATGCATTTTTGAAAATTATTGTGGAGTAGCAATTAACAAATGGAAGTGAAATGCAACTCTCTGAGTTTTCACTTTATATAGAAGGAAGAATCACCATCTCCCACCTCCTCATCAGCTAATTTGAGATTAAGTTTACATGTTGCCTAAGGCCATAATTCAGCAGAACAGTGAAAAGCATGTTTCTCAACCTTGAGTGAGTGAGTGGTCTGTTGATTACAGAGCTGAAACTAAGTGCAGGTAGTAAAAATAACTGAAGGCCAGTTGAAATTCAGGTCTTTGTAATTTTTGGTATTTGTACGACGAGCACGTAGTTGGCTATAAATGAAATTCTGCTCTCAAGTCCCACTGTGGTGCATCAATCTACTAAAAGTTAAAGTGGGCCATTTTTAAAAACATTATGAACATGATTTCCATTTGAAATCAATGGAACCATGCCACATTGAAGATATAATGGAGGAAGTCCAGGGATGGTAACATATATGACTGCATATCTAGGGTTATAGAGAGATTCAAACTGATAAAAATGTAGAATCTAGCTATAAAGAGCTGTAAAGGGACTGGTATGTGACAGAAGTTTGTAAATTTAAAGTCTATTATGGGAACAGAACTGGTAATGGAGAAGATCTAATTAGGAGAATATGGGTGAAAACTAAAGAATGGAAAATTTAAGCTCAGCATCAAGACATTTCTGGTCGTGTTGTACCCTCAGTGGACATGCTAGAAATGCAGCCACACAGAACCCTTAAAGAAGACTACCAAAAACCCTCCAAATGACCCTACAAAAGACAGTTTAATAATGGTAAGGTATGGCCTGCATGGGTTTTGGTTTCAATAAGTTATTTCTGTCTGCAGCTTCTGTGATTATGGCAATTCTTTATAACACTAAGCAATCTTGGCTAGAGAGGGTGTAAAGAGGGCAGAACTTGAAGACTGTCAGAGCTTTTTTTTTTTGGCATCACTGCCTGTGAAACTGTGAATAGGCAGTTCAGTCAAAGTGTTACCGCATCCAGGATAAAACAGGAATTTTGTAATTGTATTCACTGAAGCCAAAACTCTTTCTTGTTACCTGGCAGCAGCAGCATAAATTAATGTAATAATGGCAACGCTGCCTACGAAACACTGCAAAGACAGTACCAGACTTCTGAAATTCTGCTGACTTCCTTTTGTATTAATATCACTGACATTAGAAGTGAAAACAGACAAGGGTGAGCCAAAGATCAACAGTCACCTCAAAGGTCAAAGAACTTCTGCATGTTGTGTGTAAAAAGGGACTCAGTCTGTGTATTGCAGATATTCAGCAGTGACCTGGATAGTTAAGCATCAGCTAACATTTTCATTCTAAGCTTTGTCTTCAGAAAACTTTATAGCTATGCTGGCTCAGAAGGCATTAAGTGGAAGTGGGTAAAGGCAAGCCACCGCAAAAATCACCAATTCCACCCTATTAAAATTATATTTCCTTTTTTTCCTCAATTAAAATTGTGAAAATATAATTTTAGTCTAACTTTTTTCACAGGTGTAAAAGCTGTGAAACAGTACTAAAAGCCACCATAACAAAACCAGGTATTACTTTCAAAGGAAGAATTTGAAAGTGAGGCTATCTGGAAATATAACTCCATTCTTTTGTTTTTTTCAGGTGGCCAAAATAGCCATAAATATTTACATTTCAACATGCCTTAGTGGACTTGGTTGCCAGCCAGAAAGAGCCACCTTTCCAAAAGACCACCACCTTTTCTATTACAAGTCCAAACTGCTGTAGCAAAGCCTACACATATAATTGAAATGTGGATGAAAATCTGGGACATATGACTCTAAATGTTTTATTATACTTATAAATCAAATAGTTTGATATGAAAAAAATCTACCTTAGATGTGCATCATTATACATTTAAAAACTGTGGATAAAAGTCTGCTCATGCAAATTTTCCCTGAGAAGAGGTGACTGGGTCTTCTAAAACAGTAAAATTGTACTCTAAGGTCCCACAGAAGACAATGCAGTTAGTAAATCTGTGTCAGCCTATGTAATCATAGCTGACACGTTCAAAAAATTGACAGCTATATATTTTACCTGCTATATGAGTTACTTTAAATCTTCCAATACTAACTGTATATTTTTAATGATGTGACACTAATAAAGACACAATCTATATTTTTTTCATTCATGCAAATTATGCTTCTAGATAAATAAGAGCCTCAGTCATGAGTGTTCTCTGAAGTATGGAACTCTCTGTTCGAATACAAAGATTTCAAAAATTTCTTTTCTTTATATCACTTATGGAAATGTTTGCTCAGTTGCATGCCATACTTAGAAAGTTGACCTTAAAGGTGAAAACAAGTAAAGGACAGAGGGTTACAGTGAATGTGTTTACCGGAGCTTTAACAGGAGCTATATGTGTTTGATATTGGTCTTAAATTTATTTAATCTGCCCTGATACAGAATGTTTATTAAAATACAAACTAAACCAGCTGATTAGCAAGCAGCAAATGAGTGGTGTGTATTGTGCATGTTTTCATTTCATTTCCTGTGACAGTCAGTATTAATTATTAGTACTACATGAAATTTGCCGAAAGCAGGCAAGCTTCACCCTGCAAGACGGATCCCTGCTACTCCCAGCTGATCAGCAGAAGTTCAGGGCACAGGTTCCATATGGGGCTTCTTTCTGCACTGCTATGCATTTTTCCATTGACCTGGGTACAGCTGAGGGATATGGGCATAACCAAAACTTAAAATGAACAAAAATTATTCAAAGTCTTTCCCTCTCTCACCAAAAATTCTGGCATTACAATCTCTCTCTGCTATTCCTCTGTAAGGACAGGATACTGAGATCAGGAGTTTGATGACCTCTCACGCTGACTTAGCAGCTCTTCCACATAACACGGCACAATCTAACACCGTAAGCTATTGTTTTGAAAGGTGCTTTTCCCAGTAAGTAGATAAAACAATGTCCTGGGAGCCCCTAAAGGGCCATTCCAAATGATTAGGAAGATGATTTTTACATCTGTGCTGTCATTGGCTTCAGCTGGATTTAGGCAGTATGAGGTGAGGCCACAGAATCCACTTATGTTTCCAAGCTCAGGTCCCCATTATTGCTGCCATACTCCGGCTTCACTGGATATTTGCAGGGGAGGAGTAATCTAATAGCTCATATTGGAAAGGAAAATGGTAACAAAAAGGAAGATCACATTTAGCCCAGTACATAAAAAATCACTTTCATATTACAACTACTATCTTTCCTTCACTTTTTAACCAAAAGATATTGTTACATCGCTTAGAGCAGGTTTTTAAATCCCTGAGCTAATAAAGCTCCATTGCTTCAGCTGCAGAGATCTGACATGCCGCATGTACTCTGAAAAGATGCCTCACAGGGGATCAGGTTCCTAACAGTTGACTAAGAGTTCCAGTCCCAAAAGATGTGCCCCTGGTGTGCAGAACACTTAACCCTTCGACCAGTAACAACATGACTATTCACAAATTATTGATGTCCCTAAATCCCTGGCAGATTGCAGACAGTTCTTGTCTCCCTTGAAGCCAAAGCATATGGTCACTAATGAGATGGATTAAAAAATACATATACACATTCAAGGCTTTGCACATGAATGTAAAGCCACAGAAATGGTAGAAGGTGATTGAACTGGACTGAACACTGTTAAATACATGATTAGGCTCTTGTTATGGATCATTTCCATTGATCTATATATACAGTTTCACAGCATAGTTTAATTAAAGCTGTCTGGAACAAGCCTCTGCCTTAAATGATCAGGCAGAGCAATGAAAAGGTGAAACATGAGGAACTGGAGACCCCCCCTCCCTTTCTTAAACATCCAGCTGACTGTCTCTGTGGTTTACAACCAGAGGAAGATGTGCTTTTAAAAATATTATCTGTTTTTACTGCTGTTTGTGAGGCTTATGCGCCAGAGAAATCAGTTCAGGATTTTTCCCACACTTTTACTTAAGATAATATAAAATGACATAGCGGAAGATTTTAAAAAAAACCCTGTATAATTGGCTTGCTTCATTTTAGTTAATACCTTCCTGTCCAAAATTAAGCCCAGTAAACAAAAATATACTGTTGGAAAATAAAAGCGAGTCACTTTGCAAAAGATGATTTTGTGCTGATTTTTTGTTGCAGCTGTGAAGATTTTAAATGACAATAAGGTGGACATTTTGCATAGTCCAATACTTGGCTTTTCATATTGTATCTTATGGTTTTCTTTATTATTCTTGATGACATTATTTCACGTTGGTCATGTTGGTAATTTCTCTGTTAAGGGACTGGGTTTTCAAAATTGATCTGCCCACAGCAAAAATGGAGGCAACATCTTGTAAATAACTGGGTTTCCATTTTGAAAACATATCAGCTAGATCTTCAAAAATACTAAGAGCCTACCAGTTCCAGGGAAAACTGGCCAAAGATATGTTATTCAATGCTTTTATAAATTTATTCCAAAATTATAAAATTTGAAGTCAGTCTTGACTTTTTGTCAAGTGGGAAACATTCATATGCACAAAAAGAGGGAAATCAGCAATAACTGAACTTAGGAGGACAGAAATGGAACTTGCTTTGGAAGCCAACGACTCCTGATTATTTATTCTGGTTATTACATTAATTTCTGTTGGTCCTTCTGGCTTTGAGTGAGTTACAATCTGACTTTGGCTACTTATTTATAATACCAGGATAGTGATAATTTGCATACTTCTAATGATGATCAGGGTGTAATTGAGTTTTGTTAAGGACTGGTAAAAAGGGGAGTTCCCTGGCACCTTTTGGCAGACCGGATTAGGCACAGCTCTAGAGATGATGTAAACTCCTTCATGGAATACTGGTGATGCACTTAAATCACTCTGGCCTGGGATATTTATCTGAACATGAGTTAAGCAGCTGCTTTGAATTCCAGGGGAAGTCTGTTGTCATGATATATGAG